GGGGGGGGGGGTTCTTACTGACACCTAGTGTTAAATAATGAGACAGCTATAATAGCAGGGCAAGGACAGTAGTGCTGCTCCATACTGCAAATCTGATGTTAAGTAAATACAGGGCCAGCATTGCAGATACCAGTACCAGTACAGATACAGATGCTGATAAGTATAACCGAGAAAGGCAGCTTAAGTGGGGGAGAGTGTGTGTCAGTGTGTCACTATTTATGAGCTGAGTCATCATCAATTTGTTAACTTCTTAACACATTTTAATAACTATTAAATCACTGTGGTGATTTTTACTTTGCATAGTACTCAGTTAACACAGTAAAACACATCTTTCAGCTTTTCATGTATTTTGAAACTGTTTTTGGAGACCCTGAATGTACATATGTCTGTCTCTAAAGCACTTTGCGTCAGCTTCTGTTGTTTAAATGTGCTGTAGGCTATAACTAGAATAAGCGTGATGTTTGAACAGAAAAAGTTTTAGACATTTTTCATAGTGCAACAAAGTATCAATCACGTATAGTATCAAGTATCAGTATCTAGTATTGATCCAATACAAATACCGATACCAGGGTTGGTATCGATACTATCAATATTTGGATCAGGCTCACCTCAACAGGGCAGGGCAAGGACACATAGGCCAACAATAACAAACTCATGCTGTTTGAAGCCACTTAAGGATTTTAACAAACCACAAGAGCTCCAGCTATAAAAAGAAAGACAACCTGCAACTTTCAACTCCTGATTGGCACTTTCAACATCTGCTTTGCTCACACATCAATTTATACATTTTATTTTCTTCCCTTTTCCTAGATTGGGAATAAATAGCACTGATTAGTGTGTTTGTCTGGGACCCGGCTTGTTTTGAGGATGTTTCCTGAGAGCCCGAGTCATGTGTGCGAGCTAAGTACAGAACGAAATGAAAACGATGCGTGAGAAAAGCAGTCAGCATGCAGTGGCATGTTCTGCTTTTTTTCCTTTTTTTTTTTAATCAGGGAGGAAACAGGAACTGATGTCACCGGGTCACAAACAGGATGCTGTGATTATAACACAATGAAAATGCCTGGCTGTGTTATGGACACCGAGAGGCCAAAGAGCAGAGCCTTAGCATGTGCGATGGAGTGTGGATGAGAGAGCGCTCCTGCTCGTAGGTGTGAGTGTGGGGACGGTGGGAAGCGCTATCAGGCTGGGTCAGGTAACAGATGACCACAGCGCGAGAGGCCTTTAACTGGGTGATTCATCACTGTGATAGCACGTATGTTTTTTCCGAGCATGTGCGGAAGCTCCCCTTTCCAAACTCTTTTCTTTTTTTCCTTTTTTTTAATGAACACACACTAGCTGAGGATGAGGATGCCTAGGTCAACGGGCTTACAGGATGAGTGTGTGTGTGAGGGAAAAACCATCCAGATTCTCTGCTGAGTGTTGATTGCTGCTGATTAGGGGGGTGTTGACTGTTGCAGCATTTGTGTTAATTGGAGTCAGGAGAGATTCTGATAATGTGCATGACACACACACACACACACACACACACACACACACACACACACACACACACACACAGAGAGAGAGAAAGAGAGCGAGAGAGAAAGGAAAAAAGAGAGAAAAAAAAAAATAAAAACACTGATCCTTAAGCGCTCTTCCAAACTGTATGGAACAGCGGCTATTTTCCAAATAGATGAGGATGGTAAATGATAGCAAGACGAAGAAGAGTACTCTGATAAAGATCTCTATTTTAGAAAAGTTGACTTATTTATTTATGTGGAATCCTCACAGATCCGCTGGCTTCCATCTGGTTTCACCCTCCTCTCTGCTGGTGCCAGGTCCTCTCTCCAGCTTTGTTTGCAGAGGAGTGGGTGGTACGGAACCGGGCATTGAAATATTGCTCTTAACCCTGAAGGGGAGGAAGAGCAGTTGGGGAGCCTGCAAGTGCCTGAGTGTATTTTTTATGGGAGGAGGTCTCTGTGGGTCGTGCGCACAGGCTGAGAGGCTTGGCATATGCTGCTGTTTTTATGGCACTGCAGACTCACACCGCGCTCCCCCACGGCATCTGCTTGGACGGCTGCGCGT